AGGCCTTTCTCATTTCCCAGTTTGTGCATCCTCTTTACATCTACGGTTGCCTTTCACTACACTCAAAAATCATAATTTTAAAGTAAATTAATTTTAAAGTAAATTACTCTTTAAATATTATAAAAAACAGTACAATTACAGTAAATTAACAATCCGCCTGTTATTTTATGTTTAACTACAGTTACTTCCCTATAACTGTAATAATTACGATATTTGCGATATATTATTAAATGTTTTGCTCGTTATATAAAGGTTGATCTCCATACTAACAATTTAAGATTTTTCTGCAATTTTAAGGTTAATTTCATTTGTATGTGGTTTTACATTCAAGAGAGGAAGAGGGAGAGACAGACTGAGACAAAGAGAGAGACAGCGGGACAGACAGACAGATGGAGAGACAGAGAGAGACATCAAAGCTTGTGCGCAGTTTTACAATGAAATAAGATTTTACCCACTGTAATTTGTAAATGAAAAAAAAAGAAAATGTGGCAAAATCCAACATCAAGAAAGCAGTGCAGCAGAAACTTTTTCCTATATGTGATTTAGTGTGGACTTACTGTTAAATGATGATGATTTTTCAAAATTAGGCCCTATGATCCCACATTTCCTTTTTCATAAATTGTATCAGATTTTTTCCCCCTTTCTCCCAATCTGGTAGCAAATTACACCCTACCCATTCCCTAACCCTAACCCTAACAATCACGACAACCATTTATCTCTTTCAAGAAACTTAAGTCAGAATTCACCCAAATTGGGACTACAATGTAAGACATATAAACTACTCTAGGGGGTAATATAGGATAAAAAAGCTTCTGATAGGGTGCGGTGGCCAGTGCCTTGCCTTTGGCTCCCCGGTTCAGCTGCCCAGTTGTCGGACGAGGTGGGGGGAGTCATCGAGATAACTTTCACAAACCTAACCTCGTCCGTGCCTCGGAAGAATGAGCTCTTTTACACTCCAGCTGATATTACCCAATCCAATTATTTCCACTTTTCTTACTCTCATAGGTTTAACCATGGCTCTCAGCAACTTCCAACAACTTACCAGAGCATTTAGCCAATACATCAAGGCTCACCACCATCTATTACCATACCAATTGCTCACCAAATTCTAGAACACCGGCACGTCTGGAAACAATCCAAAACAAAATCACAAACACAGTGAGACCAGCATACCCGAACCCAAATACAGAGCTCCTTAAAATCTACAACACCAAAAACTGGACCCATACAACACTATCACTTGGTACAGGAAAATGCAATAACAAAACTACATGCCCTTTCAAAGGACAACTGGGAGGAAGCACTTAAAGTAGCCACTAGATGGGTGAAAAAAGGTCTACCAAAGATCAAACCTCTAGTACTACAAGAAGCTCTACAAAACTACGAGAAATAATGAACACAGCTGAACGTCCCCTACAGGTAAAACCACCACAGGTTCCCTCAACCCCAAAAGAACCAACTATACCCCAATCACACAATACTCAAAACCTACCTGAAACCTTGCCAAGAAGGGGAACCTCCCTCTAAAAGCCACAGGAGTGAACAAGTAGGAACACCACGAGAAAGCACACCAAAAAAAGACCACAGAATAACCATGGCAGAAGAAATTCCGGATTTAGATGAAATTCCTATTTCCGAATTCAGGTAGACTGTTACCCAGGCGCTAATTTTAGCCACGCAAACCACCTATTACGAAGCAACACCCCAATAACAGAGGAAGTATCCAAGGTGATACTATCCTGTCCTGTTTTACTATCCTTTTATATATTGTTTTAATGCAAGTGAACTACAGGCTTAAGAGAAACTTCCAGGAGATATTGTCCAACACAACGCTGATCAGGGACTTAAAAAGTAACATCAGCTTTCGAAAAGAACCCAAACCTGAAAGACCTTCTGGTCAGGGCCAAACTCAGACCTCCTATGACACACACAAAACTACCTGGAGGCCCAAAATTAGCCAAAAACCAGAATCTAGGTGCTACGTACCTTTTAACTAGCAACATACGCTAAAACTTAACAACTGCATCTACCTGATACAATGCAAAAAGTGCAAAATACAATACGTGGGACAAACAACAACACATTGAGAACTCGCGTTTCTCACCACAAATACAACAACAGAAGAGGACACAATAACACGCACCTGGTCAAACACTTTCAACGACATGGTCTCCAGAATTTGATTGTACACGGACTGGAACACAATCCAAACTGGGGAACATCTCAGAGGAGAAGAAAAGAGAATTTCTGGATCAAAAAACTGGACACATACTTCCCAAAAGGATTAAATCACCTAACTTAACTTTATAGAAAAAGACTCTTTATTCAAATGAAGGTTTCTAAGACAGTCGTTCATATTTCATACATTTTATATTACACATACAGAGCACTGAGAGCCTGCTGGGCTATCGGACACAGTGGTCCAAGCTGTCACCGTGCCAAACTGGTCACACTGATTATCCAGTGCTTCTGTGGTGACCAGGAGGTTGGTGGTTTGATTCTCTGCCAGCAGGATAAATCTGGGAAGTGAAAAAGCTTTCCCCTACAGCTACCTTAACTTTTAACTTTTATATTAGCCTATATTTCTTTATTTTTTATTTTTTATTTAACCTTT